GCCATTGCAACTTCGTGTACTTCGTTTGTGTCTAACGACCAGACCAAGACCGCTTCCGGATCCCCACCATTATCAATACTTCATATATATTTGCAATATTCAGATTGCTTTATCATATTCTTGCTCGTTCTTCGATTGCTTGCAGGAATAGACCTTCGTGGTCAGGCTGACCGTGCTTCCAGCATCGTCAGTAACCTCAGGAGATTGGTTTAGCGATTGCTAAGGCGCAATGTCGTGCACGTTTGTAGTCGGATCGTCAAAGTCGTCTCCACCAAATCGATAGTTATCATCTCATCGAAAGATCGGGACCCTCGCCTCTATCAAGTGGTATCAGTTTTGAGGTTGCTCGGTGAGAATTTTCAGTTTTCCTAGATTAGATTTATTTTCTTACCTATTGTCCAAGAAAAATCCACAAAAAAGAGTTAGATCTATTCATCCTTTGTCCAAGCCAGTCTGAACCTTTGCAATTTTCTTTTCATTGCTTGCATAGTTGAATTATCGGTTGCATCGTCGTGTCGAGTTGCTGGTCTTAGTGTCTAGGTCGTTTAGAGTTTCGAGTTCTGTTCACATTAGTCACGTCGCCGCTGCATCATTATCCCTTCCGCTGTCCACCACCCATCCATCAATTTCCTCCACGTGCTACCCACCGTTCATTGTCATAATCATAGTTGAGATTGTTCCCATCTTCGCTTGATCCAATCTACATCTTATCTAGTTTGTTTTGGAAAGAGGGAGAGAGAGAAAAAAGATAGAGAAAAAAATGAGAGAAAAAAAGTAAAAAAAAAGTCAGAGAAAAAAAAGAAAGGAAAAGAGAAAAAAAGTGTGAGAAAAAAAAGAGAGGAGAAAAAAAAAACAAAATTCGGATCTATCTAGACTCAATCTCGTAGTTGAATTCGGATTGGAATCTGTTTTGTGCACTGTTCAGTAAAACAGGCATAACTTCCTCATATGAAGTCTGTTTTGGCTCCGCGAGTACTCAAATGAAAGCTAGCGACGAGCCTCATCTAAATAGTTGCAGAAGCTAGTTCAGTATTTGGCACCTCAACATCAGCTTCTAAATAGGTCTACTGCTATTGTGATCTTCACTTATATCTTGCTGTCCAGAGCTACTTCATATCCTTTATTGATGCTAGTTGTGCTACGACGTGACCTCATTAGTGTTCTAGGCTCGCGTCTCTAGTTTGGTCTAGCCTAGGACCAGCACAGTACCGTCGTTGAGCGTTTATTCAACATTGCATCTCTGAATTGATTATTCCTAATCTTTTGCTACCATATATAGCCAACCCAGCTCCATATATTTCTACACCGTGCATACGTAAGTTCCCTTGGCAATCGTTTTACACAATCTTTGGAGTTATTTGACACCGCTGGTTGCCTGTCACCACCTGCCGCATGGTAAGAACTTGTAAGATATTGATATTTGCTTTACTGTGAGCACTTTACAACCACATCCTAGTAGTTCATAGGAACATTATTCTTGAATTTTGGTTCTTGTTTCTACTAATCATGACAGGTTCCAGAGATAGAAGTTCTTGGATGACGGACACATCTTCACCATCACGAGAGTTGGGACAACACACACAAGCATATGGTCAGGTTATCTCTTTACCATCATTTGAGGGTAGATTTAATCCTGCTATTTATCTAGCTTGGGAGCTTGAAGTAGAACAAGTTTTTAGTCACCATGATTTTTCTGAACTTAAGAGAGTACGAGCTACCATTAGAGCATTTACTGGTTTTGCTTCTGTTTGGTGGAGTGTACATTGTAAGAAAAACATTGATAATCAACCCACAACTTGGAAAGTTTTGAAAGCTATAATGAGACAACAATTTTTTCCTCCTTACTATCGTCGTGAATTGCGTCGCAAATTGGAGCAATTCAAACAAGGCAGTAATACTGTTCATGCTTACTACCAAGAGTTCAAATCTTATATGCATCATTGTGACATAGAAGAATCTGAGGATGATACAATGGATAGATTTTTTGGTGGTTTGAACCATGATATTCAGGCAAGATTTCAGTATATTCCTCGTTGCATTACTGGTATGTATGTCCGTGCTTGTACCTTTGAGAGACAAATACAGGAGGATGCATTGGGTGACTACAACAACTACTATTCTAGTTCATGCTCACCACCGCCGGTTGGTTACTCCACTATTGCACCTACTAGAGCAGCCCCACCTCGGATTGTGAGCGCGATATCATCTCAAGAGTATGGTACATTGTCAACGTCCGTATCTACATCAGCTACATCTCTGCGAGGTAACAGTAAAGGTCTTGATGATATAACTTCACATGAGAATGAAGCATGCCTAGTTAACTTGAATGCATCATGTGTTGAGTTACCTGTTGATTTGAGCACACCACGTATTTTAGAGACTCTTTTTACTGTCATGAATGCGTCATATGATCAAACAACTGAAATATCAATAATTTTGAGTGCACCCATTGAATTAACTGTTGATGTAAAAGAACCAATGTTTAATCATTTTGATATGACCTTTAATCTTGATGATGATTTTGTGTCCAATGACTTATTGCATGTTTGCTTATTTAAGCATGTTGTAGCATGTGAATTTGATGCAAGTAAGGTTTATTCATCGAAGTTAGGATGGTTTAATGATGAACATTGTCAATCTTTTGAAGTGAATAAGAGCTTCACTTATATGTGCAAACTGAGTTGCAATATTTTCATGCCTTGTGATAATTTCAGTATATTCCTCGTTGCATTACTGGTATGTATGTCCGTGCTTGTACCTTTGAGAGACAAATACAGGAGGATGCATTGGGTGACTACAACAACTACTATTCCAGTTCATGCTCACCACCGCCAGTTGGTTACTCCACTATTGCACCTACTAGAGCAGCCCCACCTCGGATTGTGAGCGCGATATCATCTAAAGAGTATGGTACATTGTCAACGTCCGTACCTACATCAGCTACATCTCTGCGAGGTAACAGTAAAGGTCTTGATGATATAACTTCACATCGATATAACCTACATCCGTACCTGCACGTTTGTAGTCGGATCGTCAAAGTCGTCTCCAGCAAATCGATAGTTATCATCTCATCGAAAGATCGGGACCCTCGCCTCTATCAAGGTTGGTGCCCCCGACTGTAGTGATATCGTGCCCTCGATCCACCCGTCATGGGCACACATCGACTATAGCGATCACGCGCCCTCGGTCCACTCGTCATCAACCTTCTAGCCGGGTTGCCCGGGTACAAGCTGTCTGGGCAGATCAGACGGCTTGTAACGGCCCCGAGTAGCCCCTACGACAAGCCACAACAGGATGAACGGTCACGAGGCTCTCCCCACCCGTGAGCAGCCCAAAAAGACCGGTACTCCACCGTCCAGTTCTCCAACCCACCGCGTGTCGCGAACCAGCCTGTGGTTGGATGATTAGGTGGACAGTGTGTATACGTGTGCGCTTATAAGGGTGGGTGTATAAGCGTATATATGATGTGTTCTGTGCAAAAAAAACTGTGTGTCTCATACCGTAAGCAACCGTGACAAGAAAGGAGACGAACCTAAAAAAAAAGCGAATCAACATGTGTTTGGATGGTTAGAGAGCAGGGGCAGGCCCATAGCTGTACAAAGCGTGTGGCCCGCACAGGGCCCATAAATTTTAGGGGCCCTAAATTTTTATGTAGGCTTATGTATATCTCCTCCTGGGCCGATGGCGCCTAGCGCGTCCGCGCGACTCCGCGTGAGGCCGCTGCTCCATGCGATACCTCGATTCAAAAACAGAACGGGATCGATCGCATTCTGAGGAAATTGGCAGGCGAGACGGCGCATCCAGAGCCGGTGGCGGGCGACACAGCTACAGGCGGGGCGACGAACCTTCCGAGTTCCTATTAACTTCATCTGAACTCTGATGAATATGTTCCTATCGCAATCGCCAAAACAGGTAGATCAAAAAAACATGTTCCTCTCGCCGCGCTAGTCATGTGAGATCGATAGTGGACGATCGTCTTGATTTCATACCGGCAGAAGTTAAACAATTCATCAATACTTGCATGGTTCAGGCACTAGTTTAATTGTTTAACTACTCCTGCCATCTGCCGCTGGCTTTTTCTCCTGATTAACTTTGGATCCAACAGTTCTACTCCTAATTTCTAAATCCCAAATTAATTTTGGCAGGGATCGTTACTTTCTTAGACATCGGTTCTTGCCTCCTTGGTTAAATATCTAGGTATTGCAGTTCATCCAAACAGGACACGAGACAAGGTGAGTTACACGGTTCGTCTAATTACCAAACATTGACGCATAATCTTCAATTTATATATGATGACTGCTGCCATATCACTCCATTTTGTTTTATTCATCTTTTGTATCTTGTGTTTTAATAATACATATTCGAGTCATCATGGGGAGAAGATTGATTACGAGGATATAATTGAAGATTTTAATTCAAAGAATACTAAAAGTATGATGTTGTTCAAATAAATATTATGCAACACGGAGTTGAATAGGTATGATTTTTTATTATGTATCTAATTGTTCTGTAAGACATTATATCATATACATTATTATTGCTCGTTTGCTAATTTTTTTCTAGTGTGATAGGCCCCTACTTCTTTTGTTTCGCACAGGGTCCTGGATTTTAACGGCCCGGCCCTGTTAGAGAACAATGATTTCTTTAGCCCACCAGAATTCAAGTCAACGATGAGGCGCCTATGATGACTTCGTAAATTTCAAGAGTCTTTTGAAGATGCTCATAAAAATAGGGTGTGTGTGAGCATTCATAGGGGTGAGTGTATGCGCATGTATATGAAAGCTTGTGCATGTTAAAAAAAAACTAAAAAAAGTCGCCGAAAAGAGCAGAGCAGAGGAGAGGGGTTCGGTTCGGGGCTTCGGGCAGAGGAGATCGAAGCGGACGGGAGGAGGGCAAAAAGCTGCGCCCCGAATCTTCGCCTCTGTCGCAAAAAGGCTTGGCCTCTGCGGGGAGTGAAATGCGCGGCGGCGGCTGCTGCTGTGGGATCTAGGGCGGCGGCAATGGGGGCGCCGCCGTGGGCGATCTGGGCGCTGCTGCTGCTTCACCAGGCCGCGCGCGTGCTTGCAAACACGGAAGGTCTGCTTTGCTTTGCTGGTTTGCTTCCGTTGGAGGTTCTCGAGGCTGGGGTTTTGCGAGGCGTTTTCATGCCCATTTCTGGCTCTCTTGGTCGAGCAAATTTAAATCTGCTGCTTCAATCCAGGGCACACAATCAATTTGGGGCGATTTTGACCGGAAATCGGAGCGGATCATCATTGCTCGTTTGCTGTGGTTTTGACATGATTTTATATTTATACTGCGTCACAAAACCTGACAATGCTTGGGGCTGGGATCTCTGCTTTGCGTTTTGCTTCAGAGGGTTACTAATAATATGCTTGCGTTAGTTTGCTTTGCGTATGTTGCCCCATGCCCATGAATATGATCGCTTATGTGCCCATCTATCTGCCTTGCCAACGTTAGTCCAGTCGTGGTCGTGGTTGTTAGGGTTGATTAGGACGTTTCTACGATGTGGTTTTCTTGTTAGTTTTTTTTTGTTTTTGTTTTTGGAAGCGTCTTCTTGTTAGATTTAAACTCGTGGTTTGCTTACTTGTGCCCGTGTTGATACACTTCCAGTTGGTTTGCTTACTCCTGTGAATTGTTCGTCGCCTGCGGTTTGCTTGAGCCTGATTGGTGTACTCTGGGGTTGATTAGTGTTAAACCTCATGTATTTGTATGTATACCGTAGAGAGTCAGAGCGTGCGTGTGTGCAGTTTTCAGAGTCAGCACACACGATCACCTCCTCACGGCATGGCCCGGCCACGATCACCATCGTGGGCTCGCGCCCTCTGCCCCTGTATAAATGTAACCCTGCTGATCAATGCAAAGCGTGTTCGATCTCTTCTCCCTCAAACATGGTATCAGATGCAGAGGAAAACAACCCCTTCGCGCCTGCCCAACCCCCTTCGGCTGCCATGGACACCAACCCTCTCGCCTCCCCCAACTCCTCCGACGATGATGCTCCTCCGCCGGCTGGCGTCATTCACGCCCCCGCCCTGGCTAGCGCTCCGCCCGCGCCACCGGCTGATCCCGCACCCGTGCTGGCCCCCGGCGCGTTTCCCTCCTCCGTGCTCCAGACGATCGACATCCGTCACCACGTCCCCATCACCCTGGATCTGCATGCCGGCAACTACGCGCAATGGCGTCGCTTCTTCTTCACCATCGTCGGCATGTTTGGCGTCCGCGATCACCTCGTCGCCCCCGCTGCTCCGCGTCGCCGTGACCCCGAGTGGGTTATGGTTGACCACTGCATCGTCCACTGGCTGTACGCCACGATCTCGCCGAAGCTGCTCGATGCAGTCATGCAGCCCAACGACACCGCCGACATCCTCTAGGGCGCCATCGAGGAGATCTTCCACGCCAACCAACTCTCCTGCGCCGTGTACATCGACGCGGAGTACCACGCCGTGGTCTAGGGCGACCTGACGGTCATGCAGTACTTCGCTCGCCTGAAGACCTTCATCGACCAGCTTCGCGACCTCGGGCAACCGGTCGGCGACACGCAACAGCTCTTCCACATGCTGCGCGGCCTCGGCCGTCAGTACCACTGTGCGATCCCGCACCTCACCACGCGCAGTCCGCTGCCCACCCTTCTTCAGGCGCGCTCTTTTCTCCTCCTGGAGGAACACCGCGCGGAATAGTCTGCTCGTCTTCAGTCCGCGCACGCGCTCATCGCGGCTCGGCCTCCGGCTCCCCCTGTCGCTCCGCCCGCTACTACTGATGGTATCGCGGGGCGTGGGCGCGGACGCAACCGTCGTCGCGGCCGCGGCTCCGAGGGGGGGGGGGCGCCACCTTCTCCGTCGCCAGCACCACCCCCGCCGCGCTCGGCTGCCCTGCCAGGTCAGGCCCCCGGCTCCAACTCTTGGACTGGCATGGTGCAGACCTGGCCCATGCCGTGGCGTGCGCCTGGTGCCGGTGTCCTCGGTCCGCGACCCGGCGTCCCGCAGCAGCAGGCGCTCTTCACCTACGGGGCCCCTGGTGCGAGCTCCAGCACGGCGCCATGGATGGCACCACCGCCCTACGGGTACGGTGCCTACCCCTCGATCCTTCCCGGCTTCACCTACGGCTCGCCTGGCGCCAGCTCCAGCACGGCGCCGGTGCCGCCCCAGCCGTGGGACATGGGTGGGCTGCAGGCGGCGCTTCTGGCCGCGCACACGTCGCCGCCGCCGCCCTCGAGCACCTCAGACTGGTACATGGACTCCGGCGCGTCCTCGCACATGACATCAAACCCTGGTACTCTCCATTCCCTCTGTCCTACCTTCCCTCCCCGTGACATTATCGTTGGCAACGGCGGCCGCATGCCCATCACACACACCGGGCGCGGCTCGCTCATTGCCAACAACTCATCTCTCGAACTTCACAATGTTCTTCTTTCCCCTTCCATCATCACTAGTCTTCTCTCCGTTCGTCAACTTACTCGCGACAACCCTGTCTCTGTTGAATTTGACGCTTTTGGGTTTTCTGTCAAGGATATCCGCACCCGCCTGGTGATCCTTTGGTGTGATTCGACGGGCGATCTGTACCCGGTGTGCCCCAACCCCGCCGTTCCCCGTGCCAGCTACTTCGCCGGCGCGGCGTCCACGGAATTGTGGCACAACAGGCTCAGGCACCCTGGCGAGGAGGCGCTTCGCCGTGCCCTGCATCACCTCCCGTTCAGTTGTGCGCCCTCCGCTTCACACTCCTGCACCGCCTGCCGGCTCGGCAAACATACGCGCTTCCCGTTCTCCACCAGCACGACGCCTAGCTATTTTCCTTTTCAGTTACTTCATCTAGATGTTTGGACCTTTCCCATTGTTAGCATTTCTGGCTTTGAGTACTATCTAGTTGTAATTGATAGCTGCACTCATTATGTTTGGACCTTACCTCTTCGCCACAAATCCGAAGTTATTTGCATGCTCTCTGCATTTTATGCTTATGTCCAAACTCAATTCGAGCGCTCCATCCTCGCCTTCCAGACAGACAATGGACGCGAGTTTGACAACCTCGCGGTCCGCTCGCTCCTCTCCAAGAACGGCACAGTTCTACGCCTCACCTGCCCTTACAGTCAACAAAATGGCAAGGCGGAGCGCGCTCTCCGCACTCTGAACGAGAGCGTCCGCGCCCTCCTTTTCCATGCCTCCCTCCTGCCGCGCTTTTGGGCTGAAGCTCTCGCCACTGCGACGCTTCTCCTCAATTACAAACCCTGCGCCGCCAGCTCGCCGCGCACGCCGCATGAACTCCTCGGCACGCCGCCGGATTACTCCATTTTGCGGGTGTTCGGCTGCTTGTGCTACCCCAACACGACCTCCACCTCGCGCCACAAGCTCGATCGGCGCTCGGTCGCCTGCGTTTTCCTCGGGTACCCGCCCGATCACCGCGGCTACCGCTGCTACGACCCCACCACCCAACGCGTGCTCACCTCTCGCCACGTTCGCTTTGACGAGCTCACCTTCCCGTTCGCCACACCGCGCCTCCCACCCCCTCCCGCCACTCCGCCTCCACGTCTCGTTCCTGCACCCTCCGG